TGCCCAAAGTGTGTAAGATGGAACTTCAAAATCCTTGCCTCCAAAGAGAAAGTTGGTTTCACCCTCTCTAAGACAGACCTATTTGTTCTCCTGGCAGTTATTGTATGCTCAACACTCTTCTCCAATTAATTCTTCTTTCATCCTTAGTCACTGTCCATCTCCCTGATGCATAGCACATAATGGCAAAGATTGTGGCCTGGATCAGGTGCACCTTAGTCTCTAGATTGACAGCATTGCTTTTTAGCAATTTGAAGAGGTTCCTGACAGCTAATATCTTCAATGCAATTAATATTTTTATTTCCTAGCTACTGGTGCCAAGAGTATTGATTGTGGAACTGAGGAAGCTGAATTGTTTACAACTTCAGTCTCCTCTATCCATCGTGGTGCTGCTGATTGGCCCACATCATACATGAGATACTCAGTATTCTTCTCAAATACCGTGATTCAAAGGCATTGATTCTTCTTCTCGCATCCTTATTATAACATTGTCCAACTTTCACATGCATAGGAAGCAATTGAAAATACTATGATTTGAATCAATTAGCTGAACCTAGTCTTTAAACGGATATTCTTTCTCTTTCGTATTTGGCCCTTGACAACATGTTTTCCCAGCATAACTAACACTCTTTTGGTTTCTTGACTACCATTACCATGGGTGTTTACTGAATCTTTTTTTTCTTTCTTTTTTTTTTGTGAGTACACTTACTCATTTTATTTGTGGTTACTCTGACATATGCCTTATCTTCATAAATTTAAAGCAGTCTGTTATATCATGGTATCTCCTTAACTTCCTCTTCATATGAAAGTTTTGTAATGTCATCACATATTCTCCTTTTATGTTTTAAGGGTGTATCATCACTCACAGATTGACATCTCTGGTTCTGTTTTCCTTTTGCAAATTTATTTTACTTTTGAGACTTCTTTTTCTGGGTTTGTATCTGAGTGATAAATCCTCCTGTCTTGATTTCAAGTACTGTCTGTATGTTTGGTTTACCGTCTTAAATCTCCCTTTTAATCATTCATGTAATAATGGTTTTTACAAATCCCGTCAATATCTGTTTATCAGGGAATGTAACACTTTTGCTAATGTGTTGAAAGACTATTTTTTCTGTATTTATCTTTTTTAAAATTTTTTTTATTTTTGTGTGAGTGTACTGTCAAATCAGATCTGACTGGTACAGGAGGAGATTGTCCGTCCTTTCCCGACAGAGCATCTGGTGACTTCGAACCGTTAGCTTCTGGGATTGTAGTTGCAGTTCCTTGCCACTAGGCCACCAGAGCTTTCCTGTATTTATCATTTTTGGCTGGTATTTCTTTTCTAGGGTTTCTACGTTATCTCACTGCCTTCTGCCTGAATATTTTCTGCCAAAAAAATCAACACTTTGCTTTACTACTGTAGTAATATTTGGGTAGTAATATTTTATTTTTCACACACTGCTTTCAAAATCCAGTCTTTGTCTTTTGAAGTTTGATGGTAATATGTCTTTGGTTACTTTCTTTTGAGATTTATATGGTAAGTTCATTGAATGTCTTGAACAGAAACCTTGTTTTTAATGATATTGGGGAAGTTTTCTGTCAATAAAATGGGTTTTATTTCTTCTCTCTGCTATTTTACTTCTTCTCCAATTATGTAAGAATTCTTCCTCTGATTGTTGTTGTTGCGGTGTATCTTCGAGTTGGAACTGACCCATAATTGCCCCTCCTGTGAGTTTTCAAAGGGAAAGAAATTGCTCATGTTTCTCTCAATAGATTAACTAGTGGCTTCAAACCTTTGCATTGAAAGCATGATAGAACCCTCCTTTTAAAAATTCTGACATTATTTGAAATTTTTTTTCTGATTGTTCCCTAAAGATACTAGTGTCAAGGGATTTGTCCCCTTTTTTGATGATTGGTTCTTGTATTAATTCATGACTACTTCTGTGTCCTTTTACTGAATCATCCGTTTCTTATATTTTATTGTACATCTTCTGGATTTCAAGTTTTCCTAAATTTTGGAAGTCTTGTCTGTAGTTTTCTGTTGTTGTTTTCAGGAGAGTTATGTGTGTATTGTGTAATTAAATTTCTATTAGGATCCTGTGTAACTTTATAAGCCTTTTGGATTTCTTATCAAGGATTCTTTATCCAATTTATGTTCTGCTCATCTTGCATTTACTCCTTGTATATTCACAGTTTGTCATTTTTTGTGGTTTCCATAAACTTGCCAACCAGTGCTCATCATATGCAACATTACTGTTTGATCTTTGCCTCAGAATAGCTATGCAGTGCCTGTCTAGCAAGTTGGGCACCTCTGTTCTTTTTTCTCCTTTTTTGCTGTTTTTATTTAGTTTCTTTTTGAAATTAGTATTTGATCTAATTGTCCAGAATTATCACCTGTATTTGTGATTTCTCTTTGCTGTGGAGGGACAGTATAATGTATCTGACTAAGCCATCATCTTGGACTTTCTTATTGCTTCTTATTTTGTGATGATGTTATTCAGATGTGATTTTTAAGAACATTAGGATATAAAATTTAACATGCCATATTGAAGCATAAATCTATTTGATACTTAATTCAAGAAAAGTATGGAATAGTGTTTTATATTATCAGAATACTATTAAATTACTTAAAAGCTGGTAAATGCAGGATTTAAAAAAAAAAAAAAAAGATAAAGGACCTAGAGATTATCCTTACCTAGATAAGTATATTGTGAAACATGGCCATATCATGTAACAATGTACCTCAGACTTGATAAACCCTGTAAACAGACTGTAACTTTAGTTGGTTGGTTTCCATTTCCCTCATTCTCCCCATCTCACTCCTGGCAGTCCTTCATCAGGTTTCCAAGGCAGAAAAAGTTAATAGTAACAAACTACCTCATGTCTCTCCTGTAAATTTGAACTGCTGACCTTTAAATTAGCAGCACAACACTTAACCCCTGTGCCCCAAGTGTTCCCATGGAAGACCAAAGCTCTTTGCTATCAAATCAGAACTGACTCATAGTTAGTTATTCATCGGGTTTCTGAGACTGTAAACTGCTGAGAAGGAAATTACTCCATTAGTCTATTAAGGAACAGTTGGTGGTTTCAAAAGGCCAGATTTTCACTGCTCGTCCATACAGACTATGCCAAGAGGCGTTCTTGGGGCTCCCATTGTTGTTGTTGTTAGATGTCATTGAGTCAAGTATGTCCCATAGTGACCCTCTGAACAACTGATCTGAACCCTACCTGTCCTGAGCCATCCTCACATTTTCTGACACACGTAAGCCCATTGAAGTGGTCACCATGTCAATCCATCTGGTTAAGGGTCGTCTTCTCTCTCTTCAACACTCCATCTTTCTAAGCATAATGTCTCTTTCCAAGCAACGTGCCCAAAGTATGTGAGCCAAAGCTTTATCATCTTTGCCTCCAAGGAGCACTCTGGCTACACTTTCTTCAAGATTCATTTGTTTGGGTTTTTGGCAGCCCATGGGATATTCAGTACTTTTCTCCAACACCACAGGTTAAAGGCATCAGTTATTCTTCTGTCAACATTATTCATTGTCCAGCTCTCAGATGCATGGCAAGAGATTGAAAAGACCACAGCCTAAATCAGGCACACCTTTGGGGTCTCACATAGGTAATATAAAATGTGTAGAGCTGACCCCAACAGCTCAGAAGGGTGTACAGTCTTAACTACCCTTCCCTAAAGAAACTAACATTACTGATTTGTTTAGATCTCAGGCTATTATTTTAACCACACACCCCCCTTTTTATGTCATAGTGTTACCCCCTAGATCTCAAGAACAACAGCTATGGCATAGAAATTTCCCCTACCACTCATATCCTTTCACTTCCAGCTCTAATAGAGATTTAGCGTTAAGCTGTTACATTACTTGAGAAATATCAAATGCTGAAAATTGCCCTTCAGAATTATCTACCTCTCATAAGTGTCAAGAAGTAAAGCAGCCCTGACTTTGCTATTTGGGGTCACCTTAGGAGAATTCAGAAAACACTTAAACATAGCCAAAATATTGTGAGTCATAATTATTATCTACATTTTTGTAGGGAGGATTACAGAGAAACCTTAACCCAAATGATTATGAACCATTGGATTAGGTATTTCTTCAGCTTGGTGATTGAAGTCCCTAGGTTCTCCGTTATACTAGGAAGTAATTCTGATTCATAAAGTTTGCTTTATAATATCATGTTCTTTTAAGCATTGCACTTTATTCTTTTCTTTTATGACACTTTAGTCTCTATCTGCTTGAACCTCTTTTACCAGCAAAGCAACCTTTCCCTGTCATTCCTGATTGGCCTTTACTCCTTTCTCTGTTTTCTCTTCTATAATTATCTCTGTCTGATTAACATAGCACTGCTTAGAATCCACTCAAATTCCTTTTTCTTCTCTTCAGTGTCATATCTTTTGGTTATATTTCTAAAAATAGGAAAAATCAGTTGAAACTATAAGAATTTAAAGAATTATTTGCTAGGACTTGAAATTTCTTGTTTTACCAACTGTTGGTTTGGTGTTTTTTTTTAATTGTGATACAAATATATGTATAATAAATGGTTGTATATGTAACAGCACATTTGATACTGCAACAGACTTCATTTCTGTGGTTCTATGGATTAGTGTTAATTATACTCTGTTATAATAATTCCAATGTAAAGTAATAAACTTATACATGTACATCATTTATCTTAATTTGTTTTATAGTATTATATACTAAATGTTTCAAAACATCTAACATTTATTTAAATATGAATTATGAGTTTTATTTTTTAGCACAATGAAATAAATAATGTGTTACTGCTTCTGATGTATTTGTACATTTACAATCTTAAAGTTAGAAAAAAAGTCCTAGTATAATCTAAGTCATCAAACTGTGATCCTGGTAAACTCTATGGGGATGGAAAAATGCTAACTCATTTTAGAACTTAGATACCATTGCGTTGAAATGTAAGAATATCAAGAACAAAATACAAGTATAGATCCCAGGATTGTATTTTACTATTAAAAGCTTTATTTTTGTTATTTTTAGGACCATCCAAGGAACCAAGCTTCTGGTATAAAATAGATTCATCTCATACCCATGGCTATAGATCTGTGGAACTCTTGTGGAAGGTAAAAAAAAATTAAATAAAGTTCCATGTTTATATTATTTTATCTCACATACTGCATTTTTATATGTTATGATTGGTGTTCTCCCCTCAAAAAAACTTTAAGTTTTGCCCATTTTATTATTAACAATGCTCTTGTTAACTATATAAAGTAATAACAAAACTTTACATAAACTGCGTAGAAATCAGATTCATAAACTGCAGGCAATAGCACAAACAATTCAGCACAGTTCTGGAAAGACTTAAGTTAGAAAAGAAGTGTTTTTTTAATACTTCATTGATTTTTTTTTTTCAGTGTGCTTGATGCAAAAAGTTTTTAAGCCCTTTAGACATAAAGAACAACAAAATATTTATTGATTATATGAAATAGAAAATTTTTCATACTTTATAAACACATTATAAGTTGCTAGGTGCAATTGAGTGGACTCATAGCCACCATGTGTGGAACCGAATGAAACCCTGCCCAATCCTGTGCCATCTTCACACTTTATGCTGTGCTCAGTAGTTACAGACATTCAATAAAGGTATAAATAATATCAATTAGGCCCACATAGCCTTAGAGCAGAATCATATATAAAAAAATAAGAACACTGACATCATTATACGCCTTCCCTTCTTTTAGTTGAGGTCATGTTTTTCACCCATTCTTTATTCAAAATTTACTACTTTTACTTTAGTCCCTAGTTCAGAATGAGTTTGCCAGTCCCTTCCAATTAAATGCTTGAATATTTGACAATAACTGGTGACAATTCTTGGAACAAAGGAAAACATTATTTTAATATTTATGTAAAGAAATTTAAAATAAACTCTCTTATTACAGATATTGCCTCCTTCTGAAGCCAATGGAAAAATCTTGGATTATGAAGTGACTCTAACAAGATGGAAATCCCATTTTCAAAATTACAGAGTTAATGATACAAAACTGATGGTAAATCTCACAAATGATCGCTACATAGCAACTCTGACAGCAAGAAATCTGGTTGGCAGATCAGATGCATCTGTTTTAACTATTCCTGGCTGTAACTTTCAAGGTTGGTTGACTCAGATTAAAGAAAGTAAAGTTAGGTGCAGACAGGGCAAAAATCACACGGAGACTTTAACATCATAGTAGTAATTTCAGGAATCAGATAGCAAGCAAATACCTGCTTTGTCACTGTGTGCTTCCTTTACATTTTCCTGATTACTTATCAGAAAATACTTTGCAAAAATATTAAAAGGTTTTAATAACTTTATATTCACATAACATAAATACATTGTTTCTCTATGGCTTTCAAAGAACATAAATTTGCAATTTCTAACTTGCATACATAAGACATTTCAAGAATTTGTAAAGAACAATTAAATAGATTGTCCTTGCATGTCAGTTATAATTTTCATTCCTGGAAATCCAGGTTAATATTATATACTATAAAATTTGATAGCAACATAAATCAAATGGTTATATGCAGGTGGCTATAAAATATCAAAGTGTTAAAAGTTTATTATTATTATTATTCACTTTTTTTTTTTTAAAAAAAAGCTCCTCAGCCTGTGAAGGATCTGAAAGCATTCCCCAGAGATAACAAACTTTGGGTTGAATGGACTGCTCCTAATGAATCTGTAAATAAGTATATAGTTGAGTGGTGTGTGTTATCAGATAAATCACCCTGTATCCCAGACTGGCAACAAGAAGACAGAACTGCACATCTCACCTATTTAAAAGGTAAACCTAGCCAACAAACATTAAGTGATGTCATTTCCGCAACTGTTTAGGTAGATTTTCTTTAACGTATTTGTTTCTAGTTTACAGGTATTGTGATCCACTGAAAGATTTCCAATTTATCATAACCCCCTCCATTTAATTAGTCTACTAGATGTGCCCCTGAGCAAGTCATACTTGCTTCAATCATCAAAGGATTGCTCACAACCTGTAAATACAAGGTCGTCTGGCCATTGCCACAGTGTCTTCTCTGTATTCAATTTAACTCCCTCATTTGTCAGATGAGAAAATTGTTTCCTAAAGTACCTGAATGACATGTTTCATATTTCAGCTGTTGGGGGAGAAATTAAAAGTTCATATTTTTCCCAAGTATTTTACCTGGAAGTGCTCAGAAAGAAAATTATGTTATAGAACTCCAAAATGGATTGTTGTTTAAAATACTTGGCGTAGTGCGTAGAGAATTGAACAGCTGACCCAAAGGTGGTGCCTCTCAGACAGTCCAAATTCACCAGCCACCTTTTGGGAGTTTTTGTTGTTAGGTGCCATCAATTTGAGTATGATTCATAACAATCCCATGACAACAAATCTAAACTCTGTCCTTTCCTTTGCCATCATAATCATCTCTGATACACTTGAGTTTATTGCTGCAGTCTCTGTGTCAGTCCATGTTGTCGAGGTTCCTTGTCTTTTTCACTAGTCCTCTACCTTTTTTTCCCTTTTGTTTTAATTTATTATTAATTTCAATGAAAATTTACAG